CCCCGTCGGTGCTGGTCGAAGCGGGCAACTCCGTGTGGATGAACTACCGCTCGGGTGTGGTCACGCAATGCCCCGGTTCGTACTCGGACCACGCCGTCGTCGCCGTGGGGTACGACAGCACGTCGTACAAGCTCCGCAACTCGTGGGGCGCCAACTGGGGTGAAGCCGGTCACATCCGCGTCAAGCGCGGTGTGAGCGGCAAAGGTATGTGCAACGTTGCCGAGGACGTAGTGTTCCCCAAGATCGAAGGCAACACGCCCACTAACTCGCCGTCCCCGACGACAAAGCCCACCCCGACGACAAAGCCCACCCCGACAAGTCCTCAACCTGACGTGTGCGCCGATTGCACCGGGTGCTTCTACCCTGCTGGGAACCAGTGTTTGCCCGCCGAGTACACCAAGGACGACTGCGACTATTACCGTGATGAGTATGGCACGGTTTGGTGTGGTGACAAGCCTACTCCTACCACTACCAAGCCTACCGCCAAACCTACCACTACCAAGCCTACCACCACCAAGCCTACCACCAAGCCAACCACCACCAAGCCCACTCCCAAGCCAACCACCACCAAGTCCACTCCCAAGCCCACCTCCAGTATTGACTGTGGCACGTGCAATGTATGTTACGATCCGGCCTCTGACCGATGCTTGGACAACATCAGCAAGTACGATTGCCGAGCCTTGACCTCAACCAAGGGCTATGTGTGGTGCGGCCACTGGTAAAACCTTGCCGCCTGCATGCATGATCGTTTGTGTGTCGCCGTAGGAGTTTGTTTCTAACTCTAGAAAATTGACATTGCCATCATTGTCAGCTGCTCTCGTCAGTGTCTCTGCATGGGGATGAATCCACCTGGGTGTATACCGATGGCGTGAGCCAGTGGAGCTGACCCGCGTTTGTAGTCATATCAAGCACCTGTTGTATGTTTCGAGCAGCCACGGCATGGCTGGGAATATTGGAGGTTTGTCAGAAGAGGGGGCATTTGAACGGTGTCGTATTCAGCACGTTCTTCGATTTAGCACCTGCACAAACATGGCAATGTCACTTGTTCGTCCGGGATAAACCCGATAGTGAACATGATGCACCACGACCAGGAGAGGACTGATACATCGGGGTTCAGGATGTGGCAAGCTTGATCGTACAAGGAATCGACCCAACGTTCGTCGAGAGGAGTCTTGATGGTAGTGTGGAGGTCAGGTTGCAAAGGGAGCAATTGCCGTGGTGTGCTTACGTCAGTGGATGTTTTCACTCCCGATAGATGATACACAACTCAGCTCACCATGGTCCTCACCAGACTATAGTGGAGGTGGTAGAGAGAGCCATGAGGGGTGTTTGAGCTAGTGTGCTTGGGAAGTACATCGGAGGTGGCGCTCAGGGCAACTGGGGCGTGAAGTTTGCATGGGAAGTGCTGCAAACTCAGCAACAAGTATATTGCACTTTTCATTCCCCGCCACTGCCAAGGTGAAGGTGGTGAAACAAGGGTTTTTGCGGTGATGTCTGAGGTCGTTGAAGTAGAACATGACGTGGAGTGGTGCCGAGGATTGCTTTGTCGGAGGTTGACCTAGGTAGCGTCTGAGCGAGTGGTGGAAGGAAAGGAAGCATCCACTAAGGTCACCACAGACACCATCACCAAGATACCTTCCATGACCAGAGACACCATAAGCGAGCCATACGTGATGCATGATCAACTTAGGCACCAGCCCAGCCTTCGTTACATCCACAGCAGCAACCCACAAGGCTGCCTGCGATCACCACCACCCCCCGCCTACGTACCCCCATAAGCACAGCAGAGTTGATTTTCGAGTATGCTGTGTTTGTAGGGTTACGTAGCACAGCAGTGGTGTGTGAGACATCGCCGCCATGGTCAGCCTCACCTGTGCCTGCACAAACATAAACAACTGTACCAAGGAACCGTTCACCTAGGCTACACGAGGAGGCACCAGTACAGCCACTAGCACAACCACCCCTACAAGTACCTCTGCAGACACACAGTTTTCACTCCCGACTTAAATCCTGCAAATAAACCGCATTTGGAGGTCAAATCAAAATGCAAGCTGTGGCCAACCATTTCACAGCTTCAATCACCGGGGACTCACACAAGAACCAGGAAATCGTCAAATACGTCCATGCTCGGACAAATGGGCTGACGTGACAACCACACTACAGTCTGCGTTCGAACTCCCACCAATCACATTCAGAGCGTTGTTCCTCCTCGATTCACACAATATGCACATTGTAGTTTTCACGTGTGCATGGCGCCATGTTCCAGACTTACCGGTTAATTATCCGGACGCATTATATTATGCAGGTTATTTCCTCTGTATTTGACATGTTGCTCTCATCACTATCATAACCCGATTCATCACTCTCGGATTCACTTTCAGATGACGACGAGCCGAGATCAGCATACTCTGCTTTATGAATGCTCTGGTAAGTTGCCAGGAGGATACTCTTGTGTCTGGCGTTTGCCGCCAACAAACATGTCAAAATTCACGAAGGAGGACCCTTTTGGCCCATTCTCGACAATTGCCCCAATAAAACAGTATCTGCGACCCTTGTGCTTGTGCTTCGGAATTGGTTGATGAATGTCGTCCAGGTGATATAACGAATCGTCGAGACAGGAGTAGTGATGGTGTATGTAGCTCTCATCAAGATATACCACACATTGCTTGGATGACGTATTGACCACCTGCGTGGCATCGCACAATTTCCGAACGTAGTTGTCTCGGTGTATTTGATTTTTGAGTGACAGAGCGAGCGACTTTGTTCCCTTCCCAACTCCACGACGGAATCCGCATTTGGAGAGAAAGCGTTGGACATTGCGGAGATCGGACACATACTTTGTACTTCCCTTGACTATAATGGACTCATCTTGAAGGAATGCGAGTACATCCTTGGCGACTGTGCGTGTATGCTGGGCCCTTCGGTCCCGAACAAACTTTTGAACAAGCGCAATCGTTCTTGGGTTATTCGGAATTCTGCTCTTCTTGGGATCTCTGTTGCCGGATGCCTTCTTGGCGTCACATGTCTTCGTGGCTACGTAGTCGCGCCAAACATTCTGCACGAGCTCTTTCGAGCGGCCAACGAGTTTCGAGATCCGAGCGCTGACGTCAAAAGCTTCGTTTGTTTCCTCCGAGCGGAAGACAGCATGCATGTTGAGAATCACCAACCGCTCGTCTTGTGTGGGTACTCTACTGCGTTGGGCTCGAACAGTAAGCCTGACCTGCTCAGCCATAGCGGCGTCAATACTTCTTGGGGCCCTTGTCATGGTGAGTGGTGTCGAGAAACGATTGACACACAAAAAACTCTCGAAAATTAATATTCAAATCAGAAATTGATATTTGTAAGTTATGAGTTGCTAGGGGTAAATTTGTTGGAAAAATGTTGTTCTTTTCATCATTTCTCGAGCGTTATTGCGTTAGACGATTTATAGACTATACCAATCTATGTAAAATCACAAACGCTACACATAGATCAAGATTTGGTCAAAATTGGTGCAGATTCAGGGGAGATACTATCCTAAGTCTGAAACATGGTGCCATGCACTGTCAGTCGCCCTTCAAATCCAATCCAAGACAACTGGATGCACTTCCAACAACCGTGGGATTCTGGATCGCGCACAATATATCGCGGCCACCTCGTGCACCTCTGTCAAGGCACTCACCACATTAGCGCCATGAATGGAGGGGTGCTGGTATTGATAGTGGCGCCTGGGGTGTACTCGGGAGGCCTCCACGACGCCTAGACGGTGAAAATGTCATGGAGGATAGATATACACGACCCAAGACGCTTCTCCATCTCTCCACCATGCAAGATTCACTTGGAGCAAAGCCGCTGCAGCACGATACACTCCATGAACTGTGTGGACGGCGTACAAGTCGACTGTCGCAGTACTGAGTAAACTCAGCGCTGTGGCACCATGAAGTACTGTTGTCTTACGCCGGTGTTCGTAACCGACGGCTTGCCGTATTCACAACGGCGACCTCGATGACAAATCCAAAAGTGACTTCATTACCAAGCTACCTCCCTCACTTCGCAGTCAGTAGTGACGTCCCCTACTTACACACTCAATGCAGTACAGCATCCGGACGGTAGGACCCTGGAACATAATTCTGTCATCCTGGCAAACCAGGACCATTGCTCGGCTGCACACACATTCGCACGTGCAGTCGACATCGAGGCCAAGCCGAGAACAAGTACATGCACGAGGAAAAGTACGTTTTGCTCATCGCAGCGACTGCAAGAAAAGCACCGAGAATCCCTCGTTTGGCTGGTGTGACACAATACTGCATTCTCACAAGGATATCATGCATTTCGTCCCCGCAGGCAACACGAACAGTAGAGAGGTTCTGAAGCAATTCCACATCCACATCCATAGCGAAATCTCTGCCAAATGTCATTCTGTGGATCATGTGCGGAATCGACCAAAGTTTTGGTTTGGAGCCGACGACACCACATCCATACATTTCTTCCGGTTACATGTTCCGGATACATGTTGATATCAATGATTTGGCGGGCTGCCGCCAAAACCGAACGTCATGTGTCTAGCAGACCGAGATATCGTGCTGCTCCTGTCCACGGCAAGGACGGCTCGTCAGCGCCACTTTCTTCTTGCGTTTCTCGCAACGCAAGTTGTAGAAAGGCCAATCATACCCAACGTGCGATTCAACCTCACGGCGATGAGCGATGCAAACGCAATCCTCGACTTTCGTTTCGACGTCGCCGGCATCCAAGTGCTCGGGGATAAGCTCGGCATGCCTGCCGTCGTAATCACGCCCCTCGGCAACCGCGCGCTCCGGGACGAAGCGATGTGCATCGTTCT